GGGGCTGCGCGATCTCCCTGCAGCTCCAGCTCCAGCACCCGGTTCTCCAGCCGCAGGACCTGTGGGGTGAGCAGGGTGAGCAGGCGACCTGCCTGCTGGGCCAGATCAACATCCCGCTGGGCACACATGGACGGACACAGCGCGTGCGGGACACTCAGGGACTCAGATACTCTGTGAGAACCCTGTCACCTGTCAGGAGGGGCACACCTACAACCCCCCCCCCCCCCCAATAGCACTGGTCCTAGGTATGCATTCCGCCAAGGACTTGGGCTGGTATATGCGGGCACATCAGCGCCCACCTCACTCTTCAGCTCAAAGATTTCAGTCTCATGCTGCTCCCGCAGACGAAGGGTTGTGATCTGCAGGTCGACCAGCTCCTTGGAGATCTGTGGGTGGCCGGGGTGAGAGGTGGTACCTGTGGGATCCTGTGGGCACACCCCCCCCCCCCCCCACAACCCCGCTACTTCCTCAGGGCCCCTATTCTCACTTGCAGCCGTTGCTCCTCACTCAGTTCTAGTTCTGAGGGAAGCTCTGTCTTAAGGCTGGCGACCCAGGCTGGGGCGTCCCTTGGGACTCCTGGCGGCGAATCCTCAGTCAGTGATAGAACCTGGGGAAGAGCCACCACCCATCCCACGGGTGGGTCTCAGGCCTAGTCTGTGGCCCCCCCACACCCACATCTACCCCCACATACCCAGCCTAGCTGATGGGGAAGCCAGGGCCGTGCCAAGGATCAGGCCCAGGATATGTTCCTGAGGGGCCAGGAAGGATCCCAACCCCAAGGTAGAAGCAGCAGCACCCTGGGAAGACTCACATTCTTAATGGCCTGAGATGGAGCCGCTGGCCTGGGGCCGGTGGCTGCTGCTCGCTCCATAGTCAAAAGGAACGCTGGCTGCCCCTAGCCCAGTGCAGCTTGTTTACTGGCCTGCTGTTGACACTAGGCTTGTGTTGCTAAGGCCTCTGTTGGTCCCCGGAGTCTCCCGCCTCCCCGCCCTCTCCCCCACTGAAGGGCACACAGCAGTTCAGGGGCTGGGGAGGTGGGGAGAACTCAGCTCCTTCATATATTGCATGCCGTTTTTTTTTTTTTTTTTTCCTGGCTTTAGTTGCCTCAGCTGGGAAATGCAGACCTGCACCCCAGCATTTTCCGGGGTGTGGATGGAAGCAGGAGTGCTTGCAAGCGTCGTGTGGACAGGTGTGAGGCAGCACACACGAAAAGGAGCTGCCACTGCTGTAGGAGGTGCCCTGCCCACCCTATGGTTCACACCCATTAGGAGCCTTCTTTGTGGCTCCCAGTGATGGCTGAGCGCTGAGGCGGCAGATCCCCACGCTCCCCAGCCTGAGGGAAGGGGTCCTGATTAGGGCGGGGAGATCAGAAAGCTCTGTCCAGTGCGCTCCCGGTGCGGGGTTTGGGGCCCTCCGCACGCAGGTTCTGGGCGGGGCGGATTGGGGGCTATTGGTGGCGGCCAGGCTGAGCACCGCCCGAAACCGCCTCTGTGGGGTCCCTTCAGGCCGTCCGCACAGCTGGCCGACGCAGCCGCATAAATAAGTAGGCTGCCCGGGACAGGGGCTGTGGGACACCGGTCCTGCTCCGGCGGAGTGGGGAGGATGGGGGGCGGCGGGACAGGTCTCCATAGGGGCGGGAGGGTCTGCCGAAGGAGCACCGCCCGAAACCGCCTCTGTGGGGTCCCTTCAGGCCGTCCGCACAGCTGGCCGACGCAGCCGCATAAATAAGTAGGCTGCCCGGGACAGGGGCTGTGGGACACCGGTCCTGCTCCGGCGGAGTGGGGAGGATGGGGGGCGGCGGGACAGGTCTCCATAGGGGCGGGAGGGTCTGCCGAAGGAGGCGTGGCCTACAGGACCGCGCCCTGGGGTGTGTGTGTGTGTGTGTGTGTGTGTGTGTGTGTGTGTGTGTGTGTGTGTGTGTGTGTGTGTGTGTGTGTGTTGAAGGAGGCGTGGTCTACAGGTCCGCGCCCGGGGATGGGGCGGAGCCTGGGCGAAGGCGGGGCTGAGAAACCGCGCTGGGGGCGTGGCTCAGGGGGCGCGGCCTGCAGCGAGCGGTGGATGGGCTGGAGCTGGCGTCCGCAGCAGCCGGTCACCTTGATCCTGAAGCGAGGGATTCCATCCGGGCCCTCCGGGTAGTCCCTGGAGCAGGGAGCAGAGCTCCTTATGCGGCTCCCAGTGTGTGCGTGCTGACCCCTCCCGCCCACAGCCCTGACTACAGTCCAGAGAGGGAAGCCCTACTGTGAGGAAGGAGCTCCAACGCTGGGAGCCTGTTTTGCAGGAGCACAGAGGGGCTGAGCTCTGAAACCCCAGAGTCAGTGCTTGAGGACAACTGCGTGATGTAGTCATCGAGGAGCACACGCGGGAGACCGTGGCTGTGGCCGTGCTCAACAGGGTGCGGACAGAATGCGTGCCCAGGTGACTAGGGCTGCGACTGGCCAGTCCCCCTTCGAAGAGGCCCTACGACCCTGGTTGGAGCAGATCCTTCCTCTGCTCTCTCATCTCTGGTGGTTTGGCATTTAGGGTTCCTTAATTGTGTCTTGGGTCTCCCCTGGGGTTAGGATCACCCCTGCCTCCTCTTTTCCCTTCTTCTGGTGCCTAACTGTTCCATACACAATGGGAGCTCAGTAATTGCTGGATCTCCCCCACCCCCCACCTGCAAAGGCCCATCTGCAACTCCCTAACTCCCATCCTTTCACCTGCTAGAGATCATGAGCCATGAGGGTGTATCACTGACCACTGTACCACCAATGGTGAGTGTGATTGGGGCCGACAGAGGCTTAAGGGCATTGGCCCTCGCCCCTGTGATCCAGCTCCTGCCTGTCTGCAGGAGCCACGCTGGCATATCAGTGGCCCAGGCTGGTGGCACTGACAATGAGCACCATTTGCGTGCTGACCCACAGACAGAAGCATGGCAAAGAGCTTCTGGTGAGCATGCGCCTGGGCTGCCCATCTCACCCAGCTGGTCCTCTGCTGCAGTTTGGGGCCATCCATGTGTGCTGCCTCTTGAGGCTCAGCCGACCTCCAGCCATCTGACCTACTTCCTGTGGGAAGATGAGTATCCCAATCCGACTGCAGTGTGCTCCAGTACAGCTGCCCTGCACCCCCACCTTCTCTGACCTGCCTCCTCCTCAGGGAACCTGCTGTCTGTGGCTAGCTCAGGTGGCACCTGGAGAGCACAGCTCAGATGTACCAGAAACTGGTGGAGACCCTGGGCACACTGCTCCCTGACAGCGAACCATCCCTTCCCCTTCCTTGGGGGTCCAGCCCCCCTGCACAAACCACAGGCTGTGCACATACCTTGTGCCAGGGTGCTGAATGAGTACTTGCTCGCCAGGACAGGACAGGCTGGGTGTGGTGGGTGCTTGGGTCTGGGGAGGGGCCTGGCCAGGCCAGCCAGGCTGAGTGCCTCCCACTTCTCTGCTTGTGGCAGTGCTGTGTACAAGTGCCTCCTTTCGGGACGTCCTGTGCTCTCCCCAGGGGCTGTATTCAGAGCAGGCTGCCTCAGGGCCAACCCCGCTCCTGGGGCCTCCCTGCAGTCATTTGGGAGGAGTCCAGGGACCGGTTGTTACCGGGCTGACGGGCACTGGGAGAAGCTGCTGGAGAGGTTTTCTTCCAGCACGTGCCCAGCAGTCCCGCCGTGGTGCCCCGTTCCTGCCAGGAGGAGCCTTTGCTCACATCTGGGAAAGGGGTGCTGGAGGCACTCTGCAGGGAGGGGGCAGCTTTGAGTGGGCGGGAAGCTGAGCCATTGTGACCACACTTCCAGGCGCTTCTCATGCTGCAGTGGGGGTTCCTGATCGTTTTTCTTTTTTTAAATGGAATGCTTCTTGAATTTGTGTGTCATTTGCGCAGGGGCCATGCTGATCTCTGTACTGTTCCAATTTTAATGTATGTGCTTTCAAAGCGGGCATTCCTAATCACACTTTAACCAGAGTCCAGCATGGACCTGCTGTGATCAGGCAGCATGTCCAGGCCCCACCCAATGGGCTGCCCAGCCTTGGAGAGTGGGAACTCTGGTGCTTCCTGGACATGTGGGCCCCTCTCTGGGGTGCACTTGAGCCCTGAGATCTGAATGTTTGGGAAAAAGTGTACAAGGCTTTGGAAAAAATTTTTTGAAAAAATGTTTTCAATGTTGGCAGCTCTTAGAAGCTGTTTTCAGAGGGAAGTCCTTTATTATAGTGGGGTCGGGCCTGCAGGCGAGCCCAGTGTGTTTTCTCCCTCCCTTCCTTCCCCCTTTAAGTGGGGACCCAGCAGTGGAGAACATAGGTTCCCAGGCCCTAGAGGCCACAGCTTCCTTAAACACCCAGGTCCAGGTGCAGTGGGCACCGCTTCCCCAGCCGGGGCTGTCATGGGCTAGGTGCTGCTCTCTTGCCAGAGTACTTTGCTGCCAAATGCAATAGGGTCCCATGCTGGGCTGTAAGCTTAACCTGGGCAGGCCTGGCCCATCCCTACCTGAGCTTTAGGACTTAACTCTAGAAATGGGGGAAAGAAACCTCACTTTAAAAAATATATATTTTTATTGATTTCAGAGGTGAGTGAGAGAAATATCGATGAGAATCATTGACTGGCTGCCTCCTGAATGCCCCCTGCTAGGGATCGGTCCTGCAACATGGGCATGTGCCCTGACGGGAATCAAACCATGATCATTGGTTCATAGGTTGATGCTCAACAGCTGAGCCACATGGGTCAGACGAAACTCCACTTTTACTCTGCCTTAAGCTCCTCATGGGACTGGCTGAAACCCTCCCACACTTGGCTCACCACAACCAGGAAGAGCAAGGGCACTGCCGTGGACATGGGCCTGTGGAGAGGGTCAGTAACCTACGGAAACTGGCCTGTGCTGGGGAGTCCAGGTGAGTGAGCGCAGGCTGGAAGGCATCTTCACTGGCTGTGGTCCTGAGTCCCACCTCTGTGTGGGTTCCAGTACATCCTCGCAGCTCACCCACCACTTTGGGGGCAAAGCCTTGGGTCCTGAGGTTCTGGCACTGGCTATGGTGAGCCCTCTACCACCTGATGCTGAGGCCAGAGCTGGCCTTCTCCACTGCGTGGTAGCTCGTGTGCAACAGGCTGCTGGCACGCTCCGAACCCTCACCATGCAGCCAGTGCTCGTACAGCTCCCGGACCCCAGGCACATCCTCTGGTGCCTCCGTCCTGACCATGCTGTACAGCTTCTCAACATGCTGGAGGAGCTCCTTGCTGGGCATCTCGGGGGCCTTGAGCTGGCCTCCGCCGTTCAAGCAACCTGTGGCAGAACAGGATGGCGAGGGTGAGGGCATGGGCATGGGGGTGTGCTCGCACCAGGACTAAAGGACCCCACAAAGGGCCCCGCACCATCTGAGAGGGCCTGCTGAGCATACCTGAGGGGCAGGCCATGACCTCCACATAATGATACGGGCAGCGCCCTCGCTTGAGCTTCTGCACCAGGTTCTGGATGTTACGGAAGCCGTAGGCCGCAGCGAAGTGCAGCAGGACTTGGCCTTCACTCTCCAGCGTCACCTCCTGGAAATCCTTGTTCCTGGGGGCAGAGACCACCACACTCACCCTCACCCACAGGCATGACTGTCAACCTTGCCAGCTCCCAGGGAAGGACAGTGACGGAGGGGGAGGGCAGGAAGCTTAATCCCACGAGTCAGCAGGTGACCCCACCCCAGCCTCGGTTTCCTGATCTGTAGAATGGGAACATCGCTTCCCAAGGATGGCCATGTGGTGAAGTGAGGTCAGACACAAAGCCCTACCCGCCTTCTGTGAGATGGGACGTCCCAATAGGACATCCTGTGCTGGGTCCACCACCCTGCCACCACTAGCCTCTCGGATCTCTGACTGCCATGGGGTGGGCAGGACACCGACCTTTACAACAGGAAGATCAAGGCCTGGAGAGTTCTGGCCACTCAGGGAGCCAGAGAAGAGGACCAGCTGCTGTCCAGTGACTCGGGTCTGTGCCAAACCCAGCTCCCCGTCTTCCACCAAGCCCAGCTCAGCAAGGGGACCCAAGGCCGAGGCTGCCCCAACCTTAGCCCTTTCCACTGACCTCAGGGGTTTGTAGGTGACCTCATCTACGTGGATTCCAAAGAGCTCTTGGGCTGCATGCCGGAACACGTGCTCCAGATAGCCCCCCGAACCCCCACCTCGATGGCTGGCGGGCTCCTGCACAGACACGCTGCTGAACCTGGGGGGAGAGTCAGGCTCAGGGGGCAGCAGGCTGCTATCTGCTGCTATCTCCAGGTGACCTCTGTCTCTCAAGGCCGAGGGGGTTTGGTTTCTAAGTGGGAATGAGTCACAGACCCCTGGGGGCTCTGTTGGTGTGTCAGGAGGTGGGAGAACACTGGCCCCTCTCCACTGAGTCACCTGGACCTGGTGAGCTCAGGCCTGTATCAAGTTGGTGTCATTTCTGATGACAGCCATCTTTGTGGACACCAAGACAGACCCCGGGGCGGGCATGGAACCAATCAGAAGGAAGCGACAGTGGGAAGAGGGACACTGCCCATCACCACGTGCTTCTGCTGCCTGCCAGGACACCCATGAGGCCCAATGTCAACAGAGCCCCACACCGAATGCCTGTTCGTCCCTTCCACCCCGGTGGGTAGTGACTTACACACTGTCCAGGGGGGCTGGCTCCAGCTCTGACAGGGAGACTCCTTCTTCTTCCAGCAACTTGGAAACTTCTCCTGCGATGGAACCACAGCACAGACAGATACTCATCAGCTGGGATTTCAGTGAAAACAGAGAATGTCAGAGAACATCCACCTGATCGTCACCCCTAGCAACCCGTAATCTGTCACCTGAGGCCTGGATGTCCACCTGCTGGCTTGTGGGTAGAGGACAAACCTGGGCACAGGGTAAAGAAGACTCCACTTGTGAAGACCCTCAGGAGGGCCCTGGGACTGCACCACCCTCAATGACTGGGTGGGGCTCAGAATGCCCCGTTCCCAGGTGCTTCACAGTGTGTGCCATCTGGGCATGTGCTTATGCATGGAGACCTTCCCCTGTTTGAGTTCTTGAGCATTAATTTTTTCTCTTTTTTTTCCCCCCTCTCTTTTTAAATTTTATAAAAAGTATTTGGAGACACTGTGAGATTGCTCAACTCAGAAATGGAATAATCAGCTGAGACCGGTTTGGCTCAGTGGATAGAGCGTCGGCTTGCAGACTGAAAGGTCCCTGGTTCGATTCCGGTCAAGGACATGTACCTTGGTTGCGGGCAGATCCCTGGTGGGGGGTGTGCAAGAGACAGCTGATCGATGATTCTCTCACATCGATGTTTCTAACTCTCTACCCCTCTCCCTTCCTCTCTGTAAAAAATAAATAAAATATATATATTAAAAAAAAAATGGAATAATCAATGTAGCCAGAAGGCTGACAAAGCTCTTCACCCATCTCCTTGTACAGAATATATATATATATATATATATATATATATATATATACATACATATATATATATATATAATTTTATATTTTTATATTTTTATTTTTATTTCAGAGAGAGAGAGAGAAAATCAATCAATTGCCTCTTATACACCCCACACTGGGAATCGAGCTTGCAACCCAGGCATGTGCCCTGAGCGGGAATCAATTGTCACCTTCAGGTTCATAGGTTGGCGCTCAAGTGCTGACTGTGTACAGACTATTTTAGAGCAGACACTGGCGATGCTGGGAGGTCAGTCTGCTTTAGGTCCCTGAGACAAGAGCTGTAAACACCAACCAGGCTCTGAGGGAGGGCCCTGCCTCATGCTAGGCCCTGAGGTGCTCTGCACACGGGACGACAGCTCTAGCCAGAGCCTGGAGGCAGCCCTAGGCAATGCCAGCCTGTGCCCTGGGCTTGGGGAACCACACCTGGAGGTCAGGGGCTCAGTGTGGCAGGACCCACACCTGTCGTGATGACACAATCCACATCTCGCGTCTGGTGCTCCTGGCTAAAAAAGTCAGGTCTGGACGCTTCCAGCTTTTTGTCATAGCAGGGCATCACTGTCACGTGGTAGATCTTGTCGGGGGTCACATGCTGTACGGAGAGAAGTGGAAACGTGGTCACTGCCTGACCCCAGCAGCAAAGGGGTCCTATTAGGGTGGGACAGGGAGACCCCGCAGGCACGGCCTGAAGCAGCCAGGGAGTGACCACAAGTCTGTGAGTGGGTCCCTGGACACCGCAGGTCTTAGCTCATCTTTCAAGACCCTGCCACCCACTCACTCAGCGCTGGATGTCCGTTACCTGCAGCTGGGCGAAGAAGTCCTTGACCAGGGAGCCCATGACCTGCTGCGGGGACCTGGCGGTGCTGATGTAGGGGATGATGGCGCTCCCATGCGTCTTCTCGGCATAGCAGATCCAGCCTGAGGCCAATTTGGAACAAAGAGGGGTGGCTCATAGCTCACCTCTCACTGTGGGCTGTGACATGACATTCTGGGGGTGGACCTACTTGTACAAGGAGTGCCATCCCATTAAAGAACACCCCCCTCTATTTCTAGCATCCACGTGATTACTGTCTTGGGGGAACTGAAGTGACTACACGTGACTCTCAGAGCAGAGCAGCTCCTGCCAAAGAGGCCGTTCCGGGTGACAGAACCTCCCCGCCCCCCCTCCAGCATTCCCACCACCCACATCCAGCTGATCTGGTCAGCAGTGTGAGCACACCTGGGCAGGCAGAAGCCAGCACGGGCAAGGCCTGCTTGGAGTTGGCCTGTTCTCGGAATCGCTTCACAAACTCTCGCTGGCTCTCCAGGAGGCTGAAGTTCCTGGAGAAGGCGGTATCAAACACGTAGTGCGCCCCTGCAAGGTGAGCACCCATGAGCCCATGAAGGATGCCAAGTGTGGGGTGCTGCTGACCATGCCGCCAGGAGCAGAGCGAGGACCATGCCTCCCACAGCGGCCACAGGAAGCACACAGTTCTAGTGTCACAGGACATGCTGTGCTGTGGACAGCCTGTGCTGCTACCTGGGAAGCTTGTGTTTGACAACTGGCTTCCTTCATCTGCACTTAGCATCCGCCTAGGACAGACATCGGCAAACCGCAGCTCGTGAGCCACATGCAGCTCTTTGGCCCCTTGAGTGTGGCTCTTCCACAAAATACCACAGCCTGGGCGAGCCTATTTTGAAGAAGTGGCATTAGAAGAAGTGTAAGTTTAAAAAATCTGGCTCTCAAAAGAAATTTCAATCATTGTACTGTTGATATTTGGCTCTGTTGACCAATGAGTTTGCCGACCACTGGCCTAGGACATCCATATGCATCAGGCTCTCCCCAACCTCCTACCTGCTCTCGGCATACAAAGAGGTCAGCCATTCCATCTGAGCCAGACCCAGAACAGGCCTGGGAAATATGCCTGGATAATAATATTCAGAAATACAAAGAGCAGGTGAATTTCAGATCTGGCAGAGTGTAGTCAGCATTCAGATGGCACCGCTTCCAAACATCAAGCAAAAACTTCAAGTTAAAGTCGAACTCATAAAAGCTTCTGATACGTTTAGGTTCAGTGATTTGGAGGCGTGAAGAGCCCCCTCTCCATGCCTGCATTCCAAACGGTAGCACTCACACAGGTTCCTCACCTACCTAGTTTTTTAAAGAATGCAGTTAACTTCTTGGCGGTGTCTGTAGGATTCAACTGGAATCGTGCAGCCAGCGATGCGCTGGACTGGGGTGAGACTGAAATGACAACCAGCTTCTGCTGACCAGGAGCCGCTGTCTGCCAACAAAGGACACACCATTCACGTTGCGAATTCTGTACTGATTCCCAGTGTGCCAGAGCTGGCGAGAGGGCCCGGCTCCATCGGGGCATTCCATTTTTATGTACACAGAACCCAGAGTTCAGGGCCTGACATTTCACTGTGGAAGTACTGACAAGTAATTCTTTGAGATCCCACTGAGTAGACTTAAAAATGTGGGGTCACTGGAGACGCAGGACAAACAGAACCAGGAGAGGAGCTGTCCTGGACAGCATGAATGAAGGATGCTGGGGCTGATGTTGGGTTACAGCAGAGTCTCGAAGACTGTCCACCACTTACCTTATTGGCATCTAGAATCTTCCGCAGCTCCTCATGGCTCTGCTGAGTGATGAGCACGGTCTCTGCTGAGGTGACACAGCCACTGCATGCCAGACAGTCGTCCAGTGAGATTTTGGCCCTTTCCAGCTTCCGTGTCCCTCCGTCCTGGAAGCAAAAGAACCCGTAAGCAAAGGGCCCCTCAGCACAAGGAAAGAGGGCTCTGGGAAACCCTGATTCTCTTGCTCACAACACTGACAACCAACATGACATTAGCTGGCTTTATGTGCCACAAGTTTTTAAAAGTTACTGATGACAGGAGTACTTATACACATTCTAGATTTAAAGAGCACCATCGAATTCTGACTGCTACAAACTCAGCTGGAGCTGGCGACTCTCCATAGGGCTTCCGGAGGGGTTGCTGGTCCCCAGGCTGCATTCATGGGACCAAAGGCCAGGCTCTGAAAGAGGAAGAGCATGGCAAGGGAGAGGAAAGGAATAAGGAAAGTGGGCAGAAGGAGGAGATGGTGGAGCCTGTGCAGTGGGCTATATCTGCCCAGCCTGGAGTTGAGAAAGACAGACTTCGCCAGAGAACTTGGTATTCGAGTCCAGCATCAGGCTGAAACTCAGTGACTTTTCTTAGATGCAGATTATTCCAGCTGTGCCCCTTCACTCTTTTTGCAAAAGCAGGCATGGTCTGAACCAAGGCCAGTGAGCCACAGAGACCAAGACTGGAACCCTCAGCTGAGTTCACTAGGCCTGCACTTTGCACAAAGCCACAATCTGAGCTCAGTACGTGTTTTTAGAGTCAGATCCGCCGAAGGCCCAGGATGCAATGCAGGACCAAGCAGGAGGTGGATGAGCTTCCCAATTTACCTCCGTATCAAGCACTGCTGTTCTGGACAGCAGGACACACTGGCACCCCCAGCCCAACTGGGCCCCTCATTCATGGCACCCCTCCTGAGGAGTCTCTTCTCTAAAAAGAACCCAGTCCCCTGTGCTGCAATAGGTGGGAGCCCTGATGTGTTCATCCTCCTGCACCAAGTTAATAGCCAGCTTTTCCCTGTAGAGGCTTGATCCACTGTCCATCCCCACCAGGAGTCACCCTGAGGCTCCTCCCCCTGCTTGGAAGGGGTTCCTGGGCCCAGTACACGTATAGTCCACAGGATGGCACAGAGTTCAATGGCAGATAGGCGGGGTGGAAATAATTTTGTTGTTAATCCTCACCTGAGGATATTTTTTCCATTCATTTTTTAAGAAAGAGTGGAAGGGAGGGAGGGAGAGAGAGAAGTATCAATGTGAGAGACACATCAATTGGTTGTCTCTCTCACGTGCCTAGACCCAGGCAGGGGATGGAACCTGCAACCAAAGGTACATCATGTGCCCTTCACCGTGAATGGAACCCGGGACCCTTCTGAGCACATGGGCCACCACTCTAACCACTGAACAACACTAGCTAGAGCATGGGGTGAGTTTTAACACTGTTAGATCAGGATTTTGTCATTGTTAATTATACAGGAAGTAGGTACTCACTAAGAACAAGGGGTCTAAATAGGAAAATCTTATGCCATCAGAACTCAGAGACAGAGGCAGAGAGAGGGGGAGATGGGAACACCATCTCTGCAAAAAGAAGCCCCTCTGCAGAACAAAGCAAGCTCCATATTCAGCTTCTATGTCCCCGGCCCCTCCCATTCCTGACCTCTCAGGCTCCCTGACAATCGGCGAGTTTGTTGAACCGTGAAAAAGGCCTGGCAGGAGTGGAAGGTCTCATGGTCACTGCGCTTGTGACTGGGTGGAATGGTGAGACGAGTTTCCGGTCATCCGAACAAGAACTTACCTGACTCACTTGGAAGTAACTCCCATCATCTTCAATGTGGATCTTGGCCACGCCACTTCCCAGCTTCTTATCGATCTTCATGGGCTTGATGCAGTCCTATATACCAGGAAGAGACCCCAAACCAGGCCTGAGCGGGCACATGTTCTAACACCCTGCTGGCACTGAGGGTCACTCTGCAGGTCAGTCACTGGAAGGCTGGTGCTAACTGGGCGCCATGCTAACCTGTCAGCACACACTGCCAACTTTGACCTTTTCCTCTTCTCAGTGTAACCAGGAGGCATGGCCACCCCCCAGAGAGCCAGTGATACACTGGCCACTAAGAGGAAGCCTAGGAATCGGCAGGAATGCTCTGTCTGGCTGGCAACTCCCTATTTAGTATCCTAGAAAAAAGTTCATTTCTCTCCTCACCTTCCTATCTGCCACATCACCACTAGGAGAACCTCGTTGGCCTTCCCCTCCTCCTCTTGGGGTTCAACTATGCAAACCCTCCCCCCCTCCAAGTCCTGGGCCCGCACAGCTGGTGGCAGTTGATAGGCAGGCACACCAGAGAGGGACAACACCCCTTTCCAAATGTAGTTGCTGGTCTCCTTTAGGGGCAAGCGCTCTCCTCCTGGAGGGCAATGCCAGTGAACACACACCCTGACATTTACCGGGCCGTCACGTGTGGGATTCCAGCGGACCGGCTCCCCTGCTCTGGCCACGGGGGTGGGATGTCTCACCCGTTACACACAAGAAACTGTGGCTCAGAGAAGCTTGGCAGGGTCTTCCCAGCCCCAATCCTGAGCCCATCCCTCCCCAGCTGGGTGCCTGGCGGCTGAAATTTCACCGTATGCCCATCTGCGAAGCTCCGAGCGCAGCTTCTATGTCCCCGGCCCCTCCCATCCCTGTTCTCTCAGGCTCCCTGACAGTCAGTGAATGTGGACCGTGGGAAAGGACTGCAGGATGTGGAAGGACTGGCTGGCCCCGCACTCCCCTGACCCGTCTCCCTGAAGGCACCATGATAACGGGCTCCTACTTGTCTCCGGGCGGTGCGGGGCGGCGAGCCCGCGGACCTGGCCCAGGGGGCATAGTAATCCTGTGGGGGCACCGCCCGCCCTGGCTTCGGTTCCCCCCAGGGGGTAGGAAGCTGGCCGGAGGCCCGATCCCATTATTCAGGGGGAGAAACCGACGGGAGACAGGCCGTCCCCCTCCTCCTCGCCGTGTACGGCCTCCGCCCGCCCGAGCAGACCCACCTGCGACGGCCCTATGAAGTCGTCCAAGTCCGTCAGCTGCAGCGCCCCGCTGAAGGGCGACGCCATGGCGGCCATACTGCCGTCCGGCGCTGCGCGCAGGCGTCACCAACGGCGCGAAACGGCGCGAAACGACGGGGTGCTTCCGCCACGCTGCCGGAAAGCAACCCGCGCGGCGCGTGCGCGTCTGGACCTGCGCGCGGACGCCTGGAGGGCGCGCGCCCCCTGCCGGCGGACCAAGGCCCCGGAGGAGCCACCTTCTTACCCTGCATCCTCCCCGCCCACCGGGCAGAGGCTGAGGGCCCGCAGGTGGGCACGGGTGACCTCGGCCTCACGCACCCAGCGCTCACCTGTGCCAGGTGTGCGGCCCGGGCTCCCCGCCCCGGGAGCTCGCGGGGGCAGCCGCCTTGCTTTGCTCGGCCAAGCCGCGCCTGCAGCCCAAGAACTCAGAGGCGCCCGGCACTCATGGCGCCCGTGCCCGGAGCAAATGACAGTGACAGCGAGAGGGAGCGGTTCCTCCCACTCCGCTGCTGGGGCAGAGCCTTGGGTCTGGGAGGGCGCCCGCGGGGCTCCCCTGAGGGCCTCCCCACCCTCTTCTGTTATTTTGGAGACCAGCCCGAGAAGACCCCCTTTGCCTGTATGATTCTAAAACCCGAAACACGACGGCTCAATTCTTAAACCACGTATCAAACGTGCCAAGGACAGTTATACATCTAATGATCACTTTTTGTTAGGGCCTTTCAGAAAACTCCAGTGGTCGAGCCGTCCCTTGGGGCCCAGCTGGGCTGAGCCCTGCAGGTGCCCTGACAGACTCAGCCCCAGAGTCCTGGTGGTAATCTCTTGTTTCTGAGGAGCCAGCCCAGGCTGGGCACCTGCTCTTTTGGAGTTTTTGCCTTGATGTCAACACTGCCTGGTCACCCCTGCACCTGCCTATGGGCTGACTTCATGATCCAGGGAGCCGCGACCACCTGCTGGTGCCACCTCTTCCAGCCCTGCAGCCACTCCTTTCAGCTCCCGGGAGAGGACATTGCCAGCAGCTGCCCCAGGTAGGCTTCCCAGCAACCCCTGTTCTCTGTCCTAGCTGCACTGAGCAAGGTCTGAGGCGTGGTGCCTGAGATCTGAACAGTCCCACTAGTTATTATAACCCGTGGAGCACAACATACACTTAGTTTCACCGAAATATCCCAGAGCAGGTTTGGAAAAAAACATTGTGATGGTAACCAGTGCCAATTGTGATGGTAACCAGGGCCAAAACCGGTTTGGCTCAGTGGATAGAACATCAGCCTGCCTACGGAAGGGTCCCGGGTTTGATTCTGGTCAAGGGCATGTACCTTGGTTGCGGGCACATCCCCAGTAGGGGGTGTGCAAGAGGCAGCTGACTGATGATTCTCTCTCATTGATGTTTCTAACTCTCTATCCCTCTCTCTTCCTCTCTGTAAAAAATCAATAATATATATATATGTGTATATATATATATATATACACACACACACAAACAAAAAAACAACAAGTGCTGTTGGGATTGGGATTGGGACATGGATCAGTTGCACTGGTGTGATGGAAAGGGTTTACAGTGGAGGGGGCTTCGGCTTTGACTATGGGGCAAAGGATGGTCTCCATTTGGTGACGGTTATAATTCCCCCAACGCTGGAGGGGAGGATTTGACATGTAGATCTCAGTTTTTATGGGAAATTTTTATAATATGTGAACTGATATTTCAGTAAAACTATTTAGGAAATGAGGGGGCTAGTCCTGGTTGGGGGGCTCAGTTGGTTGAAGTTGTGGGTTTCATCCCCAGTCTGGGCGCATATGGGAGGCAGCTGATCAATGTTCCTCTCTCTCACATTGATGTTTCTCTCCTTATCTTTTTAAAAAAATGTATTTTATTGATTTTTTACAGAGAGGAAGAGAGAGGGCTAGAGAGTTAGAAACATCGATCAGCTGCCTCTTGCACACCCCTTACTGGGGATGTGCCCACAATCAAGATACATGTCCTTGACTGGAATCAAACCTGAGACCTTTCAGTCCTTAGACTGACGCTCTATCCACCGAGCCAAACTGGTTTCGGCTCTCTCCTTGTCTTTCTCCCTTCCTCTTTCTCCAAGAACCAATAAAAATGTATCTTTGGGGACTAGCAGGTTTGGCTCAGTGGATAGAATATCTGCCTATGGACTGAAAGGTTTGATTCTGGTTGTGTGCTTGATCTCCAGTAGGGGGCGTGCAGGAGGCAGCTGATCAATGATGCTCTCTCATTGTTGGTGTTTTTATCTCTCCCTCTCCCTTCTTCTCTGAATTCAATAAAAAATACACTAAAACACACACACACACACACACACACACACACACACACTCTCTCTCATCTTTGGGTGCGGATTTAAAAAAACGAGGGGGCTAGAGGCCGCCACTCAACTTGGCTGCCCCAACGTGGTCCCAAGAGGCCAGGCAGTCAGTACATTTTGGTCTGTCCAGGCTCGAACCGTTGGTCCGGCCATCCCTGTAGGAGTGCCTACGTGACTAGGTCCCCAAGCTCCGGGGCCAACATTATCCTCGCCTCTTGTGTGCCTGCTGGCACATTTTGCAAATTGTTTCATCATCATCATTAGCGAGTATTTACCATGCGTTTCCCATGTGCAATACCAGAGTGTACACGCGTTGGGTGGGGGCCCGTGGAGGGTCACAGCTCCTGTGGCCAGGTCGGCCGGCTGGCCCATGCGGGTGCTGTGACGCTGTGACTGGGTGTGGGCACCCATTTACCTGAGATGGAACAGGTGCAGAGTCCGGCCTCTGTTCCGATGTCCCCACAGGTTTACCCAAACCAACCAGCTGCCGTTGTGTGGGAGCAAGTGTGGTTTCTACCAGGCGTATAGAGCTGCGTATCCCCTCTAGTGGGCTGGTGTCAGTGATAGATTAAATAGAGAAGGTAGCTGGAGACCGGCATGGCAGGACACAGGCTTTATTGGAGGGGAGAGTACCCTCTGCTGGCTGCTTCCAGAGAGAGGGGCGGAAGAGAGCGAGGGCCGGGGTACAAGCATCCTTAAGGATAGGGGACGGGGCTGAGGGAACTCAGCACAGGCTGATTGGTGATTAGGGACCTAGGGACTTAGGAATCGGGGGCTTAGGGTATTTGGCAGGTGCTGATTGGTGGTTCAGAGCTCAGGAATGTCTGGCCGCAGGTGGTGTTTACATCTGTCCATCAACTGGAGAAACGGAGGATCTATCGGTCAGTTTCACCCTCCAAGGCTTGGCCCTGTGTCAGTGTCCTGGAGCTGCTGCCACAAAGGACCACACACGGGGGTGGAGGGTGGGGTGATAAAACCACAGAGATTCGTTTTCTCCGTGCTGGAGGCCAGCAGTCTGAAATCACGGCGTGGGCAGGTGTGTGCCCCCTCCAAAGGCTCCGGGAGGGATGCCTCTCCGCGTCCGGCTTCTGGAGGCTCAGGGGGTCCTGGGCTTGGGGCGGCATCGCTCTTGTTTCTGCCTCCGAGGTCATCCAGCTCCCGTGTGCCTTACAAGGGCAGCTGGATTCAGGGACCACCTTAATCCAGATGACCTCATCTAGAGATTCCTAACTTAATTACACCCACACAAGCTTTCCCCCAAATAACTCCCATTCACAGACCCTGCTGGACATATTTGAGGCCACCAGTCAGCCCACGACAGCCACATGTCTAGGTTTTCATGGGATCCTCAGGGGCTGGAGGACAGCTATACAATGGGGTACATCTCACCAGGCTGTAGCTCACCTCCCACCTGGGCTGGGCTGGCTCAAGGGACTGGTGGCTCAGGTAGCTCAGGCTCAGGGCCAAATGGTGGGATGGAGGGGACATGGTCCAGGCAGGAGCTCATGGACCCAGGCCTCCCCCCCCCAATCAGGCACAGCCAGGGACCATGGGGAGGGTCTTCCTTCTGCTGCCCCCAGCACTTTGGGATCAGCTGCTGAGAACTGCCCACACTAAGTTTGGGGGCCCAGGTACTGCCAGGGGGGAGGAGTAGGGAGGGGACTGGGTCCATGAACTCCTGCCTGTGTGGACAGTCGGGTGGAACAGAGGACGGGTGTCCCAGGGTACAGGAGTACAGGGTTGGCTGGCCTCCTACCCAACCTAGTGGTCCTCACCTTTCAAAACCCACCCCATAAATGTAAGTAGAAATATAAATATAAATATAAATATAAATATAAATATAAATATAAATATAAATATATTTTTGTAAATCAGGAGCTATTTAGTTTGTTAGTGTGCGTGGCCAGCGTGGGGTCTCCTGCTACAAGAGGATCTTCACTCTCAGGCCTTCTGGACCATTTGGCCCTGAGCCTGAGCTACCATTGTCCCCCCACCTCCCCACGACTACCACTCATCCCAGTCTTATAAGCAAGATTTGCATCCCAGACACAGTGTGTTATTTGGGGAATTACCGAGGGCAATGAGCACGTCATTAGCACCGTAATCAACACCGGACACCTTCCCACCGGGGCTGCCACATCTTGTCAACAGGTGTGATCTGGCAACGGCCCTGGGAGGCCTGGCACAGAGCACAATTAGCAGCTAATGAGGAGGCTTGCACCGGGCCAGGAGCTGGGAGGGGAGGAAGGTCAGAGAGAGCTCCGTGGCCCTTCAGCGGTCCTCCCTCTGCTCCTGCCCAGGCAGGGCTGCAGGAAGCGGCAGAGAGAGCAGGTCACGGAGCGGGCCTCATGGTGTGTTGGGCATGCTCAAGGTGTTTGGGAGAGCAGGTGTTCTGCACAACTGTTCACAGGCATGCCAGATTGGCCCTGCCCCGGCCCCTCCAGGCCTAAGCAGGGGACACGGAGACTACACCTCTGTGGGGACCGTGGGCCAAGCAGGACCAGCGGGCAGGCTGAGAGCAAAGCCTTCTTCTTTGCCCAACTACGTGACGGAGGGTCTCTGCCCGTGAGCCACTTGGGCTGCTTATGGGGGAGAGCAGGCGCAGAGCTGGCCAAGGCTGAGCCCCAGGCACACATCGGCAGGCTTGTGCAAGGCGACCCTCTCCAGGGGACTTGCTCAGCCTGCCTGACTGGGGTGAGTGGCAGCAGGTTAACTGTTCTGGGGCGTTTC